CATCAAACTGTATGTGCTGAGTCACTTTCCCCGTCTGCTGGTCTGGAGATAATCTGAGAAGGGAAACCACAGTTTGTTCTTAGAGCACCTTGACAAAGCCAGTGTTAAACAAGAGTAGCTGCCTCAAAATTATTAATTTTTTTTATTTTATGAATAGGCTTTGGTAGGAGGGAGAGCACCAAAAAGTTCTAACACAGAGAAAGTGACACAACACAGAGAAAGTGACACAACACAGAGAAAGTGATACAACACAGAGAAAGTAACATAGAGAGAGTGACACCAAATATATTGAACAGTAGCTTTATTCTTAAATCTTATTTTTTTTATTTTTTTTAATTCAAATCAAAGGATGGAAAGTCTAAATATTTCCACTCTGAAACAATCTGTGGCTTCAATAAAGTTCTGATGTCTTACATGATGAGAGGTAAAGAGGTTTTCTTTAAACTTTTCATGATGCTTTCCTTATTTTTGTTGGATGAGAGGGAAATTATTTTGTGAATAGATCATTTTAATATGTAAAAACAGATCTTATGCATACCGCCCAATTTTTCCTTTGTCAACCAAATCTTTTAGGCTTAGTTTTAGGTGAGATATACTATGGGTTATCAGCCATTCTTCTGAACTCTGTTTTTCTGCATCAGCGGGTGATGCTACATTTTTCAGTCGCTGAAAATAATAGATGAAACCACAATGTAACAATAGATTAAACAATGGAACAATAGATAAAATAATGGCACAATAGATAAAAGAATGGAACAATAGATAAAAGAATGGAATGATAGATAAAACAATGAAACAATAGATAAAAGAATGGAACAATAGATAAAAGAATGGAACAATAGATAAAACAATGGAACAACAGATGAAACAATGGAAAAATAGATAAAAGAATGGAACAATAGATATAACAATGCAACAATAGATAAAATAATGGAACAATAGATTTAAAAAATGGCACAATAGATAAAACAATGAAACAGTACTATGCAAATATCAAACTGGGAAGACTGTACAACAAAAATAGTATTTATTCCTTTAAAGTCCATCTGTTTATCTGGGGCAAACAACTCTATGGTATGAAATTAAATTTGAATATTTTTTATTTCCTTCAACTAAAACAAGGTAACTAGGGCTCATTTTTAACTTTGTACATTTAATTTTATAATGACAATTATTAGCAATTTAACAAGAGCATCATTAATAAATAAAACTAAAATAAGTAACATTTAAACTTAAGCATTCTCAAAAAAAGTGAAATCACCAATGACTTCAATTTTTCAAAGACGTCCTAAATACCTTTAGATCACTTGTTTGATTAACATGTGTAACAGTTAAAGGGTGTCTTAAATACCTGTAGATCACTTGTTTGATTAACATGTGTAACAGTTTAAGGGTGTCTTAAATACCTGTAGATCACTTGTTTGATTAACATGTGTAACAGTTAAAGGATGTGGTGGCCTTGCTCCTCTGATGTCAGGGTGTTGCCAATTTCTGAAAACAATCGATGACAAGAACAACAAAACTCAGTGAGGCAATACAATTTTCAGACATTGAGTTTTGAACAAAATAAAGTAAAATCTATCCAGGACTGAAGCACTAACCAAGTGCAATAGCAATGCCAGAATGGCAAAAATAGAAAGTGTGGCCAAATTGAAACATACAATGAAAGATCATAACCGCCACTCTGCAAGCTAGCTCCTAACTAAATAAATGTCAGGTTTATATTTTATGTTTAATTTATTAACATTTTCTGGACGTTTTGTTTGTTTGCTTTACCCTTTATCAATTTATTTTTAAAATTTATTTCTATTTTGTGTGTGTGGGGGAGGGGGGGGACAGAAGGGTAGCGTGAGAAATAATAAGATAAGATAGAGAAGATGCACAGCTCTGGGCTATAAAACATCTGCACTGTACTGCCCTTATTTAAGAAAAATAAATTAAATTTGCATAGTCCATTTTTTGGGGTAAAAATGTAATATAAAATTATCTAAGTGGTCTTAAAAGCATGCAAATATGATTGTAGTTTAATAAAAAAAAAAGAAACCTATTAGTATGTCAACTGCTGGTATAAACATACTCCAGTGAGTCATAAAGAGACTAAATATTATCTTTTTAATGGACAAAATTTCAATTTATAATTTTCTTCATTTACAAGATTTTAAAACTTACTCAACAATGTCTTCATTGTCACTATCATCATCATCATCATCCTCGTCCTCCTCATCTTCATTTTCTTCATCATCAGTTGCTATAATTTCTTCTTTCTCACTAACATCAGACATGCTGTAACTTTTATGAGAAAGATTAGCACTCATTGGTCTCTCTCTCTTGACTTCACTTTGATTGACATTACTGGAAAAATTGATGACAGAAGATTAATTAGTATCTTTTTATGGAAAACTACATTTAATATATTAAAATTTTGCATGAGCTGACCTACTTCCATGCAAGAGCTTCTATTCTTGCATCCAAATGTCTCTAAGATTAAATGGGGCATCTTTGGAAATCTCTAGATAAAAAAAGATTGAAGCTTGGGTGAGGTGTTTTTATGAAGAATCAACTGTTTGCCATAAATTACATCCCATAACTCCATGCCGATGGGTGAATAAGGGAAGGTCAAGTGGTCAATACAGCTTGCCTGCCACCAATAGCATTGCAGGAATTTCTGGAATTTTATTGAGTTTAATGTCACACCACCTTGTGAGACTCCAGCTCTTGATTTTTGTGCTATTTTCTCCCATCGCTTTCACTTAACCATGGCATGGAGGATATAGCATCTTCTAAAGGGGCACATACTCTCAGCATGGAGGATATACCATCTTCTTAAGGGGCACACACTCTCAGCAATTTAAGCAAAAAATGTATGTATGCAGAAACTTAAAATGAAGGCTTAAATTTAATTACTATTTATAGAATGGATTGTGATCAAAGACTATTTATAACTAGACTTACCATAATTTTAAAGGTAGAAACAGGGACCTATGGTTGAAACCCCAAACATCGACATACCTAAGGGGGTGAGCACCATGGGCAGCACTTCTATTAATTACCAACACAATATAATCGATGTGTGTGGTGGGTGAAATTTTGGGAGTTCACCCTGGATGGCATTTACCCTCTGGGTATCTACTTTCTAATAAATTTAATTCTTTTTGTCCAAAATCTCTGAACACCTTAGTAATGGGAAATATTTATAGTCAAGAGAAGATTACTTTTATGCTATAGGAAAAGGAAAAGGGGTTGTGGTGGCATATTTTGGATCAGGCTTTATTTTCAATGAGGTCTCAAATTTATGTGTGGACTTGTTCATAAAGAAACACATTATGTTGCTTAATACAAGCTTAGAACTTGACAGTGTGCACATACAGAATTTGAGTTTAGTTGCATAAAATATGTACTTTGATACCAGTCCCAACCCAGTTCTCATATTAACAATATGTAAATTATGTACAAGCAGAAACCTTGGGTGGGCACTGCCTCTGCTGCAGCTAGCCTAGGATATTAAAGGGACCCAAAGTTGTGATATGGAAAAAAAAAATTATCAATGATCAAAGTTGAATGCAGAGGGCAAAAAACCAAAAAGTGGCATGGGGCCTCCAAAAGTATTGTGACATTTCTGTGTACAAGCCTCTCTAAGATATTCAGGAAAAATTACATTTGTACAGAGCTGAGATTGAAACGGGACAAACTTTACATCAGCTGGGCACAAACCAGCCTACTTATAACCAAATATTTTATTTTAATTCTTTCGGGGTGGGAGGGGGGGGGGGGGGGAGGTTTAAATTGAGAGTAACATCAGGGTTAAGATAACTAAAGGAATACATTGCTTTGTATTTAATTTTTTAAAATAATTTCAATTTCACAAATGACTCCATTTTTACCCCAAAAAATTCATGTATAGTTTAAATATAAAATAAACTTTAGGTAGCTGCAGTTTTCTTGTATCTATAGGCTTTTATTAATGACCACATTATAAACACAATTATCTGGACTAATTCAAGGATATAAATTATAAATCTTAAAATAATAGTCTAGATTAGACAACCAAGGCCAAGAAAGCAGTTTGCAGATAACCAATCTCAAGAAATTTTAGTTTCTAAACTGAAACATTTTAGTGACACTGACACTAACTCAACTTCAGTTCTATACCTGAGAGAGTAGAATGCGTACTGAGTAGATAGTTAAGTTAGTGAGTGTCTCTAAATTCTAAAATCATAGCATCATCACTGCACTGTAATAATACATTTACATTGAATAAAAAAAAAGAAAGTCTATGACTCTATGACTATGTGAAAGTATAAAATCAAGGATTAAATTGCATGTAGGCTAAACAATAAACATAATTGATTGTAGGGTCATCGATTGTAGAATAGGCCTATTTATTGCACACAATATTATTCAAAAATTACAAATTTTATTATCATCTAATCTGATTATCACTGAGTCTGATCTTTTCTTTTCAGACTGATGTGAATCATGAAAATTTCAAAGCACTAATTAGTTCATTTAGACTGAACGAGAAAATTATTTAATATACCTTGATTCAACTGTTCTTAACCTCCTTGGGCCAAATAGATCCATAGCAAATTGTCCGATGAATATTTAGAATTGGGACAAAATTTTGCGAATTTAACTGATCAATTGAAATGATAGCATTCCTCCATGTTGTTGCTGTTTGCTTGTTGCCATACAAATTGTAGGTTCGCATAAACTGTTTGGTACAGAGTCAAAGCTATTGGCTGAATTTCGATAATAAATGAAGTAACGAATACATTGAGCTAGCTATTTAAAATAATTTATTATTGTTCAAAACTCATTGTTATTCCATTTAATATGAAATATGGTGAAATAATTTTAATTAATTCCATTTAAAAGACCTTAAAATATAATAATATATCTTTAAAATAATTAGTAAATAACAAATAGAAAATAGCAACATTTGCAAATTATAATACATTCTCTACATTTAGAATTTCCTTTACGTCACTTCCGAAGTTCCATAATTATTTATCTGATTCTGATCATCCGAGCAAGATTTTGTATGCATAACACAGCGATGAATAATGATGTTAGTATGAAGATAATATTTATGCATAGATCCTGCTAATATATATTTGAAATAGACTAAAAGTACATGTATTTTGTGTATGTATAAGCCAAATCGCATATTATTTGTTTTCAGTTGAGTAGTGTTCAGACAAACCGATCAGCAGATCAATCGGGACAATCGTGTTTAAGTCTAATTTAAGTTGTTGAAATTAGACTAACAAAGACAAATGAACTGAAGATCCGAATCCGGATAAGAAAATTAATTTCAGATTTGTCATCATTTTACTATATAAACTCGCAAACTTTACTTAGAATTTTAAAAGTAGGCCTATTGGAGTATCTTAGACCTTTAAATTATAAGACAAGTAAAAATTGTAAAAAAAGTAAATGTTGGTAGTGAATGCTAAATAAATACTGCTACTACTTACTAAACTGAATAAACTTAGTTGTTACTACTACTCTGGTCCTTATATTGATTGATGATTGCCCTGCTGAATGTGACAGTGTTGAAGGATACAGTAATGCAGTGTATAGATACTTCGATGAAAGAAGGGAGACTACTATTTTTTTTGTATCGGAAATGGGCGTCGGCGCAGAAAAATCCGAGTTTTTAATTTTCCGATGTGTGTGTCTATTTATTATTAAATTAGTTCTTTCCACATATATTTGAGTTCCGTTTCCGGCCTTATAATTTGGAAGACATCTTGGCCTACATTTCTAGCCAGCTATTTTGCTTTTTATAAGATAAGGTCCTTTTTTATTAAATCTGTATGAGCATTAGATATTGATCTATATCTGTGCCAAGTTTCATTGATGTAGGTCGTGTCCCACGTTTGTTACACTTGTCACAGTGACCCATATCACCATTAGGTGGCTCAGCCTAATTTCGACATGGCTTGGGCCACGCCCCCTTTTTAATGGCGGAAGTTGCCGATACTTAGGAAATATTTAATTATTACCACTATATACATCAAAATATTTTATATTTTGTGTTTCAGAATGCATTTTGAAGACATTTAAACTGGAAATGTTTTAATTTGAGCTTTAAAAACCCTGCAGAGTCCATAATATAAATGATCAGAATTTTCCGTGTGCAACACGTTGTCATTGGCAACCATTCACAGCCACTTGCATAATGGCTACGTTGTAGTACTATCTCAGAGTTTCATTCATAAGAGTTTGCTGTGTGCAAAAGCTATTAAACCATTGGTCAGGGAAAGCTTTTATTAATTATTCATGTGCCAAAGTTGAAAGTTTAAAATAAGTCGACCCTAAACAGTATTTTAATGATAAGGGAATGCTTTGCCTTATATAAACTATATAGTCATTGCGCATGACGCGATCAGTGGAATGAGGTCACAGAATGTGGAGATGCAGTCTATGTTAAAAAATGACAAACCAAGTCGTACTTTAAAAATTCATAACTTTAAAACTACAACAGCTAAAAATATGATTTTGGTGTTATAATTATGTTTAAAATTAGCTCTATTCAACTGTGCCATTGGTTTATTTTTAAAAAATGTTTACATTTTTGACCAAAGTATCTACAGTGTATAATGGCCACTGAACTGGGTTATAGGTTACTGTAGAATATTTTTTAGTGAAGTGTCATCTTTATTTGGCCAATCCTAAGTCTCAGTATATAAACTTAACTGTACTTAACTAAATAATAGTAGATACTTCGATGAAACAAGTGAGACTACTATTATTTTTGTATCGGAAATGGGCGTCGGCGCAGAAAAATCCGAGTTTTTAATTTTCCGATGTGGGTGTCTATTTATTATTAAATTAGTTCTTTCCACATATATTTGAGTTCCGTTTCCGGCCTTATAATTTGGAAGACATCTTGGCCTACATTTCTAGCCAGCTATTTTGCTTTTTTCAATCGACCTTTATTTTGAAAATCTTTGGTATATATAAGGCATCTTCGCATACAAATTTTTTAATGAAATAATAAGATAAGGTCCTTTTTGATTAAATCTGTATGAGCATTAGATATTGATCTATATCTGTGCCAAGTTTCATTGATGTAGGTCGTGTCTCACGTTTGTTACGCTTGTCACAGTGACCCATATAAGGTGGCTCAGCCTAATTTCGACATGGCGTGGGCCACGCCCCCTTTTTAATGGCGGAATTTGCCGATACTTAGGAAATATTTAATTATTAACACTATTACATCAAAATATTTTATATTTTGTGTTTCAGAATGCATTTTGAAGACATTTAAACTGGAATGTTTTAATTTGAGCTTTAAAAACCCTGCAGAGTCCATATTATAAATGATCAGAATTTTCCCTTTGCAACACGTTGTCATTGGCAACCATTCACAGCCACTTGCATAACGGCTATATCGTAGTACTATCTCAGAGTTTCATTCATAAGAGTTTGCTGTGTGCAAAAGCTATTAAACCATTGGTCAGGGAAAGCTTTTATTAATTATTCATGTGCCAAAGTTGAAAGTTTAAAATAAGTCGACCCTAAACAGTATTTTAATGATAAGGGAATGCGTTGCCTTATATAAACTATATAGTCATTGCGCATGACGCGATCAGCGGAATGAGGTCACAGAATGTGGAGATGCAGTCCATGTTAAAAAAGGACAAACCAAGTCGTACTTCAAAAAATTCATAACTTTAAAACTACAACAGCCAAAAATATGATTTTGGTGTTATAATTCTGTAAAAAAATTAGCTCTATTCAACTGTGCCATTGGTTTATTTTTACAAAATGTTTACATTTTTGACCAAAGTATCTAAAATAATAGGCCACTACTAAGATGTAGGAAGTTGATTTTTTTTCAATGAGTAAATATGAATATTTAACCTTGCTGCATTTTCCTTCCACTTCAAGAAGAAGAAAGTAAAGGACTTTTTAATTAGGGGTTAAAACGTGACATTTAATTATATTTTTTCATGAATTACTTTTAATTATAATTACTACTCAGAATTCTACTCTCTTTTATTCAGACATTGGAACTCTGGGTAAATGCAAAGAGAAACCCCCACATTATTTACCATGGTCGCCATCTTGGTTGACACGACCTGTGAAAAGGTTGAAGGCCACCATCCCTAAACCTAACCTAAACCTACCCTAAATCTATCCCTAAACATAACCTGAACCCTAAAGAATAAACACGCAAATAACGCCATGGTGATATCTCTTAGCATTAGCCGAACTCTGAAAAAAAGAAAGTGAGTTCAATGTGAGTTATATTGTAATAATTTTTTTTCAGGTATTTAAAAAAAAAACGTCTGTAAGACTGTAAGAAATTGGTTGTAATAAACAAACATGAGTGACCTGTCTCCACTGACATCAGGGGAGAGTCCCACCACAATTGTGACTATATTAACTACAACTTCTACAGCAGAGTTAATATCAACTGCAGCAGAATCCAATAGTACGCCGGAAACAAATGTCACCCAACCACTTATTTTCCTACAAACAGCGGCAGCTCAAGGTATTGCAGGAACTTTTGCTTTTGCTGCAATTTTACTAACAGTGCATCAGGTAGGAAATTAGTGTTCTTAAAAGTTTGTTCACAATTTGTGTAGCAGCAATAGTGTTCAATTTATGATGATTTGACTAATGTTTGATGCTATGCATTTATTTAGAAATATAAATACTTCATTCCAGATTTACCTCCATCTTCGCTACTACACATGTCCCAATGAACAGCGATGGATAGTTCGAGTTTTATTCATAGTTCCCATCTACTCTTTTGACTCATTCCTTAGTCTTATGTTTTTCAACAAAGACAATTACTATGTTTATTTTGACAGTCTCAGGGATTGCTATGAAGGTTAGTCAAGAAAAAATATTAAATATTTTATTGACTTTGGTAAAAATATTTAAAATATTTAGTTATAAATTAGTTGTTTTTTTCACGCATTTTATGGAAATTTACTAGAAAATGATACTTTATTCTTTTTTAGCTTCTTACTTGTTTTAACTGTTAAATTGGATTTTGTTTTCTATTTCCCTCCAGCATTTGTCATCTATAGCTTCCTTAGCTTGTGCTATGAGTATCTTGGTGGAGAAGGTGCCATAATGTCTGAAATAAGAGGGAAACCCATACAGTAAGTAATTCCATTTGCATTGCTATCAAGATCAAAATTGAATATTGTCCTTGAAACAACTCTGATCATTTAAAGGGGCAGAATATGATATAAAGTAGAGAGAAGGGTTTATAGACTATAAAAGTATAAATTATTCACACAAAATAACAAGTTTTTGTAAGTTGAAAACTCTAACATTGCTCGTCACCTGTGTCCTTGGAAAGTAAAACCATTACAGATTTGAGGAATTAATGTATAATTTTCCGCTCTACAGGTCTAGCTGGTTGTCCTGTACTTGCTGCTTTGCTGGGCGTCAGTACACTATTGGATTTTTACGTTTCTGTAAACAGGTAAACAAATACTAGAAAAACCATAAAGCTCATTGACATAGTCCTTTTAAAACCTGTATCTGGCGTGTTGATAGTAGAGTCTAAAAAAAATTTTCTGCATCTGTTTTTTTTTTTACTACCCAATATAGGCTACCCTGCAGTTCTGCTTCATAAAACCAATCATGGCGATACTTACACTTCTGCTGCAAGCATTTGGTTATTACAAGGATGGAAACTTCTCGTACGTATAGTTTAGACTATGAGAGAATTTTACACATATTTTCAAAAAGTTATGAAACACACTATCACATTAGCTATATGAATCACCTTGGGCTGACAGCTGAATTAATTAAATTTATTGTAAAATTTTCCTCTGTAAAGTTTGTACAAAGAATTCAGACAAGTCGGTCTTTTAAGTAGTCTTTAGATTCATTTCCATCATGTTAAGCCATGAATTTATTTTACTTTTCCTACTTCCCATCCTCTCGCAGACCGGACCGTGGATACTTGTACATCACAATCATATACAACATTTCTGTGAGTTTGGCTCTCTATGCTCTCATCATGTTCTACCTGGCCACCAAAGATTTGCTGAGCCCTTTTGATCCCATCCTCAAGTTCTGCATCATCAAGTCTGTCATTTTTCTCTCATTTTGGCAAGGTCTGTTGGTTTTAAATGATGAAAATATTCATAATGTATGTAAGATATCCAAAGAAATTTAAAATTAAATTCAAAATTACCATGCTTAAAAAATACTTGTGGTGTCTCAAATATTATTGAATTATTAAAGTTTTAGTATTAAGTTTTTTCAAATACCATTTGCTGGCAAGTAAGGCTTAATATGCTGACAATTTTTAATGAGCATCTCCTTACACATTAATGCTGACGTTTTGTCAAATATATATATTTCTTTAATTACAGGTGTTGTTTTAGCAGTTCTGGAAAAAGCTAAAGTTATTGATCCTATCTTTTCCAAGAACGGTTCTCAATTTGTGGGTACAGGTACTGTATCTGCCGGTTGGCAGAATTTTTTCATTTGTCTTGAGATGTTTTTGGCCGCTGTCGCTTTGAGGTTTGCTTTTCCTCACAGTGTATATAGCACTGGTCCCACAAGCACACATGGTCGAACTGTTTCCCTTCAGTCCATCTCCAGTAGTTTGAAGGAAACCATGAATCCAAGGGACATCATGCAGGTAAGAGAACATTTAGTCACAATTTGTCAAATTGAAAGTGAGCCCTTATCTCTTACCTAGTGAAACAGAAGGTAGTGAAATAGTAAATTCAATAAGTACAAATTCTGCACACTATGCTTTGACAGAATATATTATTTTAAAAATATTATTTGCTTTATTTTGAAGACTTTCACAATTTCTAAATTTTAAAAATCACTCAATTATTTGTTCTTTTTTTAAACTCTGGTCTAATTATATCCATCCCTTATTTCACTCTTCTGATGTTCCTCTTGTGCAGTTTTATATTCTTGTATTGGAAATGGAATTTAACCTAAATTAACAAGAAAAATTATGTTTAAAAATTCTCCCTTGTAAGTAATCACAGATTAAAAACTGAAATGTTAGTTATTTGAAAGTGCGGTAACCATAGATACGCCTTCATTCCATTCTGACATTCATCTTTTCCCCAGGATGCCATCCACAACTTCCATCCCCAGTACCAACAGTACACCCAGCAAGGCATGAAGCCCTCAGAAGATGACCATCAAGACGGTCCGTGGAACTCGGACAACTATCAGTACCAACAGCAGCGCCCGGTGACCAATGGCAACCCACCTGCAACCTCACCTGTGAAGGGTAGCAGTTTGAGCGCCGGCGGGATTGGCAGTGCGGCACCCACACCTGCTCAACTGACGGCTAAACCAACGGCTTCCCAGGGTAGTGCGACAGCGGCCGCCCCAGCCGTGAAAAAAAATCGCTTCAATGAGAAGACAACTCTCCTCAACTCTGATGAAGAGTTTCAGTAATGTCTTTTAATGTTTATTAATTGTTTGTTTGGTGAACTTTTATTTCTGTCACACTCGACGTGATTAAGAAACCAGTCTCAATTCTATTTTATTTATATTTTTGTGTTCACAGAACTGTTTTTAATTTTTTTATTTTTTACTTATTCATCATGAACAAATTTGATTGAGAGAAAATTATTCTCCACAATGAAAACACTAATAATCAAAATACACTTATAGACTATTAATTTATGTTTGATGGCAGTAAATATGGTGCGTAGGCCAAAATGACTAATAGTGTGGTGGCTTATTAGCAAAATTTAACCATGACTAGCAGCTTGTCTGCTGTATTTATGTGTCTGGTAGTGTGGCTGCCACACTATGCTATTGATTTAGACACAGATATTCTGTGTTGTGCACACAGATATTCTGTGTGGTGCCATTCCAAGACAGTAACAGTCGCCTGTTACTGGCTTGGAATGGCAACAGTCAACTTTAATAAATTCTGTTGAAAGATGCTTTTAATAAAGTAGGTCACAAATGTTATTCAACAAGGTTGTGCTTTTATCAAAATTTTATGGAGCTGTTGAGATATTTTATCTCTCTCTCTAAATATAAATATATATATATATACATGTAGCTGTAACGCCTTTCAGACATATCATTTACCCAAAAGATTTCAACTGTACAAGAAAGAAATATATATTAAACTTTTTATTTACATTACTTATTATTAAAAAAAATTTTAATAACTTTCACACCCAACCACCGAGTTTACCAAAAATATTTTTAACCATACATTCCTAATATAAGAAATTAAATTTTATAATCTCCTGATGCACATCTTCTGATTAAGCTTCTAGTAAGGAACACTGGAATCCCTATCATGTTATTTCCTTTAGATTTTTATAACACTGTCTTGTGTCATGTGCAAAATAATATATGCCGTATTTTACAGACTATAAGACGCTACAGACTATATGACGCACCTTAATTTTTAAGCAATTTTTAAGAAAAATAACATTTTTACCATTTTTATATTAATTTTGAGTATAAGATACACCTGAATTATGGAGGCAATTTTTCAAAGTAAAAATTGCATCATATAGTCCGTAAAATACGGTAACAGAAATGTCAGATTAAACGTTTCAAGGCTAAACATATCTTGTTCCACTATTTACTGTTTTTAAAGAATCATTTCAATTTATTTATACAGAGAGATCAATAAGCTGACTAGCTTTTGTTGAAACTGTCATGCTTATGGGTTTTAAAAAAGTTTTAGATACAATTATTGTAAATATGTATTGTTTTCAGGGACTCTGATTCAGATTATTAACATTCAAAGTTTTTCTGAGCTGCAGACGATATGCGTAAGTCCAATTTGACATGTCCCTCTGCCTGCCTGCCTCATGTTGGTACACCAAGTGTATATTCCTCACCACAATTGTGTGTACCAACAACACAGGCTGTGCTTCTGTCTCTCATCACAACTTGTCGAAAGCACTTTTGAAGCATCTTGTCATTTGTATTTGAAATAATGTTCATTTTCGTTATTGGCAATCATTTGTTTTGCTGCCAGATCTTATTTCATTGCCCAGATGTAATGTTTGTATTTTAATTTTAAGCATCTGTTGTTCTTTGTTTCTTTTAAAATTATAGTTTTGATAGGTTTAGTTATGGTGAATTCTTTTGACTTGCAACATTTTATTGTACAATAATTTGATACCTGACCATTTTAAACCAAATGATATTTGGTATTGTCTGATGAACATTAAATGTTAGGTTACTTAAACATCATATCTAATGTAACTTTCATTGCATACCATGGTTCAAAAGGCCTTGAAATTTCAGACCATAAAGTTAAATTCGTCATTTGTATTTGGACAGTCTTTTGTTCCTGTGGTATGTCTCTTGAGGGCTGTAGGATTTCCCCCAATACTCTTTCCAATATACTAAAGCCTGGCAGCAAAGTTTATCTACTAACTGCGTTTAAAGGATTCTTTTAAAAAAGTTGGAATAATTGCATTTAAATAAACCAACAAATTAAAATCTATCTCATTTTTTAAAAAATCTTCAACGTTTATTTAAAATAGTTTGTTCCATTAAATTTTTATAGAAATTCATTTTTAAAAAAAAATTTTATCTTCATGTAGGGCACTGAGCATTTAAAAAAACCCAATAAGATTGGGTATATCCTAAGACTAAATCCTTCTCAAAAAGTTATTGAAAATTTTAACATTATTTATTGGAAGAAAAAATTGCATCATTACAATATAACTCAATTTGTGTTACAATTCATTTGAAATCTCAACCGACTGAGGAGCTACTTTAAAACAATCACTGTATAGAATTACATTAACCACTTTATATTTACTTTTTTTTTAAAAATTGTCAGAGAGAACTTAGAGACAGATTATGTTTCTTGCATAAAACTGCTCACCTTTTTGACTGTAACTGCTTGAAAAAATCAATATCTTATATTTGTCTTGATGCTTGTCAACTGTTGATATTTTTTTTTTCTTGCGGTCCCATGTTAAGCCGTTTCCCAAAAAAGAATTTTGTTTGTCTACTGAGCAAATAATGCATGGACTGCTGGATATATTAGAAACCTTTGTATCTAGCAACTAGTTAGTGAAGTGCTTATTTGAACACATAGAGATTGAAACCTCCATTTGCAGTGTACACATTTATTTATTTCCATCACTAATGGCATGTCTTGTTCCTGTCATTGAAGTCTTTTTTTATTTTAAAAAAATTTATATTTTTTAGATAGGCAATGTTCTTTTTCTTCTTTAAAGCAGGTTGTGAAAAATATGCTTTCTTGAATTAATTACTTATTTCAACAATCCCTCTTGATGTGGATGTAGTCGTGGGATTGAGCAACAGGACACTAAGCAGCAACTGTTGACATTCTCAAAGTATAGAACAGGACATTAAGCAGCAACTGTTGACATTCTCCAAGTATAGAACAGGACACAAAGCAGCAACTGTTGACATTCTCCAAGTATAGAACAGGACATTAAGTAAGCAGCAACTGTCCAACATTGCCCTATAGAACATGACATTAAGTAAGCAGCAACTATTAACATTCTCCAAATATAGGCCAATTCTAATTCTAAAGTTATTTTCTTATGTTAATATTATTAAAAACTATTAATTGATCATTCTTGATCTGGTGCCTATTTTTCTGTCCAAATAAGACATTGAAAAAAGTGTTGCATTGTGGAAACCCTTGACTTGTGCACTATAAAATAATGCTTAGGTGTATCAGTGGCTCCCATATTTCTCCTGCACTGGATGATGTCACCCTCTTGATAACGTTGGCTTTCATTGTCGTTGTTTTGATTGATTTATTTCCCTACAGTTATCGCGTGTTCATAAGACTTTTACCACCACTTACTTGTTAACGTTGAATGTTTAAGACTTTTACCCCCACTTAAATGTTAACTTGGAATGTTTAAGACTTTTACCACCACTTACTTGTTAACTTTGAATGTTTAAGACTTTTACCATCACTTACTTGTTAACTTTGAATCATTAAGACTAGTCATTTAAAACATGACAGTGCCTCAGATTTTTATAGAATTTAAAACAAAAAAAAAAGGCAGTGATGGCACTTTGAATAGTTTATACACAACTTTGCTTGCACAAGCCAGCTGTTAAAATGATGTATCTTGGGGAAATGAAGTCCTTGTTCAGACTTAAAATATCACTAATGGCTAAAATGGTTAGTAACCATAGTTAATGAGGGCCCAATGAAAAGATTAGTTAAGGTTTCTCATAAGTAGGACTATATTAGGGTTTTATCACATAGTTTAGAGAAGTCCTAAAAGTTTAAGGAATTTAATTCAATTTCAATGCACAAAATTTTACCACATAAGAATTTTAGGGAGTGTAAAAAAAGCATCGTTGATTTACGTGAAGCCTGCCTAAGTATTGCAATGATGCACACCTTAATTGTTTAACTTTTCATTAGTAATAAATAGCCCGTGGGACATGGTGAGTCTTATGGACAGTCTTCAAGAGGTGCACAAGGATCTTCATCAGGTCAGTTCCCTTCATCGGATCTATGTAAGCGTTGGTTTTATAGTAGCTCCTTTTGTGATAACATTGACTGATTCCAAGCATTTCTATGATCACAGCTTTGAGTTAACCATTATATTATATTATGTGGGAAAATGTTTACTCATAAGTTTGGTTGTCTTTATAAATGTTGCTGAAACGATTCACCCCATGAAGTATAATTTCTTGAAATATTGATTTTTTTAAAATGTTTTATTATCAGTGGATAATGACTCATATTTTGGTTGCAGTCTTCCATCAACAGTGAACCATTTTTTAAAAGATCAGTCGTGCTAGTATCAAACTATTATAGTTAACCATTAAAGATCATTCATGTTAGAATCAAACTGTTATATAATCTAATTAAAAAAGTTACATTTAAATTTAAGTAGTTTCCATTTTAAATTCATAAATTTGTCTGAAAGATAGGAATAATTGAATGTCCATCTATTGAAAGAGATGATTTTAATTTCATTGTCAGAGTTGAACTCATGAAGGTAAATTTATTAAAAGTTGAACACATGATGGCTATCTAAGGAAAGCGTTGAACACATTAATACTCATCCATTGATAGAGTTCCAAACCCTATTCACCATCTATTATTGTGTTACCATGATATATTTCAGGGGTTCTTAATCAGGGTTGCCCGTGTCAAAGGCTGTGGGAAGACCCAGAAATTCTGGTTTTATTAACATTTTTTTATCATGGGTTGCTGGAAATATGTTTTGAAATCAAGATGGGGGTGGGGGAAACATTTCAAAATCAAGATTAAGAACCTCAGATATATTTGTAGTTCTTGTGCACATTTTACTCTGCAACTCCATGAATTGTTTTTCTGAATGCATAATTTAAAATGTATTCTCTAATGGATTTAACCAGTGAAATATTTTAAAGCTCAATTCTGTTGTTTTCTCCCCCACATCGCACGCTTTTAGTTGTTTAACTTAGGGTGACTTTGTTCAACATAAGCTGATACAATAAGACAATCTTTAGAAAAAAGACAGAAAACTATTGGCATGTGCAACAACGTAATATGTTATCGTATCTTGTAGGTAGATGATTCTAAAATTATCTATCAAAACAGCACAATTTTAAATGTAGTTATCTCAACCTTATGTCCCAGTTACATTTTTAATGACATGGATTAGAACCACTTTTGTAAACCGAACACTGAGTATCTTTTGTGTGGTTACACATCTCTAATTAATCCAGTTGAACCCCACATACTGAGCTAGTATATCTAGTTAATTTTTTTTTTAGCTATTGTTCATCAACACTGTTCAATCTTTATTAATAATTTTATTTTGTGTCATATTTTGTGTTGTCTTGTATTATTTGTTTAAATCAATGACACTGTGATTACCATGTATTTTAATGGCAAGACTTTTTTTATTGCTCTATGTATAAACACATTACTTTGAAATGACTTCCATTTAACAAAAAAAAATCATGTGTAAAATTGACCAAAACGAGATCTTCACCTTTTCAAACTTCATTTCATGAAAAGATATTCCAATATTACAAAAGTGCTTACTGCATCTTAGTGCTGATGCTGATAATATATAGTTTTACCATTAGCTTAAAAAAAACCTCTTGATTTTAAAAAAGAAAAAAAAAAGAATTATTTTCACTATGTTGCTAGTCAAACAATAATGAAATTTTTGCATGTTTTATATACATCTGTGTACAACAATATTAGCACAATAAATGTATTGGACATTGTCACAACCCAGAATTAATCAAAAGACTGGTCATAAAGTACCCATATGCTGGTCGTAAAGTAGAAGTACTCATATGCTGGTCGTAAATAAAATAGAAGTACCCATATGCTGGTCGTAAAGTAAAAGTTCCCATATGCTGGTCGTAAGGTAAAAGTACCCATATGCTGGTCATAAAGTAGAAGTACCCATATGCTGGTCATAAATAAAATAAAGTACCCATATGCTGGTCATAAAGTAGAAGTACACATATGCTGGTCTTAAAGTAGTAGTATCCATATGCTGGTCGTAAAGTAAAAGCACCCATATGTTGGTCTTAAAGTAGAAGTACCCATATGTTGGTAGTAAAGAAGAAGTAACCATATGCTGGTTTTAAAGAAGTACCCATATGCTGGTCATCAAGTAGGAGCACTTGTATGGTTTTTAGTTATAACATGAAATTAGAACACATATAGTTAGTCACAAGCCTGTTGAATCTCAGGCATTCTTGCTTAGTTAATTTCAAAAGGCTATTATTTGATTTAAAAAACAGTTATCTTACATTCTTTTTTTTTCACATTCCAAATGCCAAATTCTTAGTGTAGGAAAAATCAGTATAAAATTTTAATTTAAAAAAACACTTGCCTAAACACTTGAATGACAGATTTTTTAAATTGAAAATGTGAATTTTTATGAAGAATTTATAGAAATTATAAAATTATTATTTTTACTTAAACTTTTTGTTAGATATGTTCTTTATAAACAAATAATTATAATATTAGTTGATACCTATTTTGTTCTGTTTACTGCAGTTGTAATTTGAGATCTATTTTATTTATGAAAATGTTACTCTTAAAAAGTACAGAGAATCTTAAATTTAGAAAACCATGACAGCTAAAAATGGCAGGGAATAGTAAAGTTCGAGTGGTGAGTTTTATTTTGCAAACATTTGCCATTTAATTATTTGTTAAAAATTGATTTACAATACTTGATATAATGGACTGTTTTATATGAGCATACATCTTTGTACATTATACACCATATTTGCAGTGCTTCATATCACAGCAGGCTGCTAGTATAGCAACATCAAAGTATCATTTTTCTCTGGAGACCATCATCTTCAGACTTTTTCATTGAAGTATCAAAAGTTCCCACCTGTTAGCTTGTTTTATCCATATTATATCTCTTCTGGCTCACTATTTTTGGGGTTTGATTTCAAAATATTTCTGGAGATGCAATTAGCTTCTACTTTTTTTTTCTCCTCTCTTGCATTGTTGAACTTACCATATCTGAAATTAATGTAAAACATTCGGACACAACAGAGACTCATTCAGATTAAATCATAGTCAGGTTCTGTGTTTTCAGGCTGCCCTATGAGATAAATCTCATGGAGGCCCACTTGTATGCTGGAGCAAAGCTACATGTATGCTTGATATGGATATTACCGTGGTCAGCATCCTCACTGCTCCACAGCAGCAATCTTATATGCTGCTCTTAGATTTACTCATCTATAATGAGGTTTAAACAATCCGCCCCTGTTTGGGGGGCTTGAAAAATAATCTTTTATAACATATAATTTATCAAAAATGGTTCCTCACTCAAAAATACTTTCTGACACTGCAGTATTACATTTCTAGCCACTACCATAACTTTCATCTTTAGTTTTGATGGAATAAATCAAATTGAAATAAGTTAGCCCATTACTTAAATATTCCTTAAACTAACTTAAACACATACATAGTGTAATAATCATTGTTTAACAAATTCTTAAATCCCTTTTGGATTACCCAGCAGTGATTGGTTGCCCAAAATTCAGATGGGTTTGAATTAAATTATTAAAATTGTCAGTGATAAAAAGTGATTAGAGAAGGGAAAAAAAATTCAGTTTAAAAATTCTGAGAATGTGTTACACCAGTTTTAGTAAATTTTAACCTTTAAGCTCGTTTTTTTATCCAGTTCTTTCAGTTTTGATCAAAATCTACACAGCTGGATGTATTGACATGCCAATGTTTCTGTTTAATGAATTTTTGTTGAGTTGAGTAATTCCCTTTACCTGTAAATTTATATTTTAAAAAAATCAAATCTATTTATCTATATATATATATGTGTGTGTAAATAATAAGTATTAAAAAGTACTATTCTATATCTGTGTGTTTAGAGTTGTATCAGACTTGCTTTATCTCACTAGAATCAAGATGTCTTCTTGAAAGTTCTTGTTATCAAGAGGAGGGTTGTATACATTATAGAAATCATTTTCTTTCTTATGGTCAACTTATTTCATGTTCATTGTGTTTTAGTCACTCCTCTCACAGCTCAAATACAAAAAGATACTTTTAAATTGCTCTTATTTGATTAGATACAAAATCCCACATAAATTTTTCTTTTTTACTCTTCATTATGCAGAATTACTCTATGTACAACACCAAATTAAAAAAAAAACAACTCAAACATTACCAATGGTTCTGGTTAGATAAAGTAATTATAGCTTTTGCAATTGAAAAAATAATTGTTGCTGAAAAAAGGTTTTTAAAAAAAAAAGTGAATGTGGAAAAACTTATTAATTTAATTTAACAAACAACTTCATTTGACTGTTGTTTTGTGCTATCTTCAAAGTGGTGAATTTATCATTTATTACCATATCCAACATATTGTGACTATAATATTATTTTTGTATGTATTGGTGCCATTAATATTTTCTTCCAATCCAATGATTTCGTCTCACATCTATATATAACATGTCATTAACACTTCAATGATTTCCCTTGTAATGTGTAGAGATTTTATTTGATTTACAAGTCCAGTTATTTGTTTGAGACATGTTTAGTGATGGATTTTCAATCAAACAAAATAATCATAAGCCACCTAATTTTTTTTAAAGATTTCCCAAGGTTTCTCTTATTAAATCAGTTATTGCCACAAATTTGTTCACCCACCTACTCTGCTATCAAACTGTGAACCTTTAACTATAAAATAGCATCGTATGGATATCTCTCTAAATTGTATTGTTTTTTCCAACAGCTGTTTGCACCTTTTTTGATTACAATATTCAACCTTCTTGGTTTTAAAAAGGAATTGCTTAATTTGTCAATATTTTAATGCTGGGGGGTATTCCTTATTTACTACATCACTCTGTATATCTGAATCATTTTTTTACCAGGTAGTCAGTCACTCTTCAGACTGGGGAATGTTTTATTTACAAGAAGGAAAATAGAAGAAAAGATAAAAGAAAGCATGTGTAGATTAAGTCATAGTAGTTGAATTTCAGTAGAAAATAAGATGGCATACAGGCAATGGTGTTAAGCCAAAAAAAAAATTAATATTAATTTAAACATTACCTTTTTTTTTAAGGGGGGGGGGGAATCATATGTGTGTAAATATATATATACACACACACACACACTAAGATCTGGGTTCATTCTAAATGAGTTAAGCCAAAAAAAAAATTAATATTAATTTAAACATTACCTTTTTTTTTAAGGGGGGGGGGAATCATATGTGTGTAAATATATATATACACACACACACACACTAAGATCTGGGTTCATTCTAAATGCAGTACCTTAACTGTAAAGTCTACAGCAATTTTCCTGTATACAACCAATTTTTTTATCCCATGTCCAATTGTATGCTGCCATCTGATTTTGTAGTTGAGGATCTTTACTCTGCGTTCACCACCTCGCCAAGAATAATTGCTTTGCTTAGTTAACCAGGCCCTTCAATCTGGCAATATACCCATAACTGGATGAAATTAAAGCCACTAGCGAGTCAAGATGCACCAGGTCAACACTGGAATAATTTTACTTTCAATTTTGTCTTTCAATGTAGAAAACAAATTTTTTACATTTCTGTGAATGTAACCAGAAATATAAATGATTAATAGAAAAACAACCATTTATAGTTTTGTTTCACCAGATTTAAAAAAGGAAGAGAATAAATCACTCCAGCTATTATTAGTGGCTTTCAAATTAAAAATGTTATATTCTATTTATTTTATCCACCTTGATTTTCCTTTTCAGAAAATACTCATTGGGATATGTCATTTTAGAAATAGAAAATGGAAGCTTCTATTCAAAAATCAAAGTTAGACTTTAAAAATTAACATTTTATAGTTTATCATTTGACACATGCTTTGGGAAATAGTATTTCCCTCAAATTCTTTTCAATTCAAGATCCCCTAAAATAAAGACCAGTGTAGAAATTTTTTTTTATTAACCGGACACCATCTAAAATATTCTGGATGTGAAATTTATATTTATTGACATGACAATCATGCTCTGCAAATATCTTTTTTCTCCATTAGTAGGAGTATGTTAGTGTAAGTGGATAATTCCATTTAATTTTTTTTATTTTAAATAGCCACAAAATGATGTCAGCATTAATTTTGTCAATGCTAAAAGAACCACAGAGAAATTGTATTTATTATGGCATGTAATGCAGTTTAGCTCTCCTTGTTATCCTATTAATTTTAATGACATACTAATGATGACCAAATGCTCTGATGTTGTGTATTATGATTGATGTTTATTGCTTTGTTGGCTTACCAGGAAAGCACATTGAAGAAGTTCCTGTTGATGCATTTGATTCTGTTTGTTAAATTTCATTTTATTTTTCTCTCTGGTCTAAGGGTAAGAAAGTATTACTTCATCTGCTTTTAACTTTTACTCCAACCATGTCATGTGACAGAATTTTCCTCACAGTCTGCACCATTCCATGCTTATTTTAAGGTCCATTTCACTTCACCAACTACAAATGTTACAAAACCAATTTTATTTTTCTTCAAAAATGTATTCCAAAAATGAAAAATAAGAGACTATAATCTACTATTGACCTTTAAAAAATACCATCCCACCCAGTACACTAGTTAGATGGGATGCCTAAGAAAAG